TTTAAAAGTTGAACAGTCAATGATAGATGGCTAATCTGGTTTCCCACCAGAGTGTTCCTTCCCCTATCCACCCAGGGGGTGTAGCTGTACTTACTCAGATCCTCTCCTGTACCGCTTTTGGGTTGGTGGATGCTACCAGGCTGGGCTGTTCCTTCCCTGCCATATGGGTGGTCCTCTTTCAGGGGGCTGGTGAGCTCTGAGTTTTCCTCCATTCCAACTCCAGGCCTGTAGGTAGGCCCCATCCTACTGGGCCTCCTCACATCCTCCTTCTTTCACCCTTACATCTTCCTTTCTGTCTTCCACTCGAACTCTCCCTTCAACTCTATTGCAACTGAGAAGGCGCCAACACTTTTAAGGGTGTCCGGCCCCTTGCCAACTTCTTCTTGGGGATTGGCTAGGATCCCTCAAAAGTGAAACCAGCCTTCCTCCAAAAGCCCTAGAACAAGAGTAAATTCCAGAGGGGCTGGCCTGCAGAGCCTCTCAGCCCTGACCGCAATTTGACCCCTCTCTTGCTATTACACCTGGGCTGCTGCTCAGCCTCTGTCTAACCATTAGGGTCTAGCTCCTCCTAGCTAAACCAGGAGGGTGCTACATAAGAATCCATAGACTCCATCAGGGCAAAAATAAAGCTATAATATAATTCTGGGGGAGTCGTCGGTACAATCATATAACTAATCACTTGAGCTCCTGAGCATTTACCCCCCTTAACGACCAGGCCTTTTTTTGCTGTTTGACGCTGCACTAATTCAAATGATAATTGCGCGGTCATGCAATGCTGTACCCAAACGAAATTTACGTCCTTTTTTTCACACAAATAGAGCTTTCTTTTGATGGTATTTTATCATCTATTAATATTTTTTGCGCTATAAACAAAAAAAACACACAAAAATTTTGAAAAAAAAAACAATATTTTCTACTTTCAGCTATAAAAAATATATCGTAAACTCAAAGTTAGTCATAAATTTAAGCCAAAATGTATTCTGCTACATGTTTTTGATAAAAAAAAATCCCAATAAGTGTATATTGATTGCTTTGTGTGAAAGGTATAGCGTCTACAAACTATGGTATAGATCAGGGGGTGGGCAAACTTTTTGACTTGAGGGCCACAATGGGTTCATATATTGGACCCGGGGGCCGGACCAAGAGTAGATGAATGATGTGTATGTGTCATCCATAGTAAGTATAGTAATATTCCCCCATAGTAAGCATAGTAATTCATCCCCCATATAGTAATTCATCCCCCATAGTAATTCATCCCCCATAGTAATTCCCCCATATAGTAATTCATCCCCCCTATAGTAATTCATTCCCCATATTAATTCATCCCCCATATTAAGTCCCCAAGTCCCCCCTGTGTCAATTTACTTACCTTTGCTCCGCGCATTCCTCTCGCCGTGTTCCCGCGCCGTTCCGGTCTTCAGGGCGGACTGTGAGAGGAGCCTAGCTCCCCTCACGTTCGTCATGCTGCCCCCGCCTACACACATCCTGACAGCCATCCTGACAGTATCACGCTCCGCGGGCCAGATTAAAAGGTCCGCCGGGCCGTAGTTTGCCCATTGCTGGTATAGATACTGTAATTTATGCCTTTTTTTGCTATACAGCACTGCACTAATTCAAATGATAATTGCGCGGGTCATGCAATGCTGTACCCAAACGAAATTTACGTCCTTTTTTTCACACAAATAGAGCTTTCTTTTGGTGGTATTTTATCACCTTTGCGCTTTTTTTTTTTTTGCGCTATAAACAAAAAAAAACACAAAAACTTTTAAAAAAAAAATATTTTCTACTTTCAGCTATAAAAAAATATATCGCAAACTCAAAGTTAGTCATAAATGTAAGCCAAAATGTATTCTGCTACATGTTTTTGGTAAAAAAAAATCCTGTGCATTAGCGGGCAAACTGGCGCTATATGGGAGGGGCGCTAACACTATCGGAAGTCACCAGTGACACTAATACAGTGATCAGTAAAAATCTGTTCACTGATCAATGACACTGGTGACAGGGCAGTGAAGGGGTTAACTCGGGGGGGGGGGGGGGTGATCAAGGGGTTAGACGGGATTACTGGTGTATTAGCGGGAAATCTGGTGCTATCTGGGAGGGGCGCTAACACTATCGGAAGTCGCCAGCGACACTGATACAGTGATCAGTAAAAGTCGGTTCACTGATCAGTGACACTGGTGACAGGGCAGTGAAGGGGTTAACTGGGGGGGGGGGTGGATTAAGGGGTTAAACGGGATTACTGGTGTACTGGGGGGGGGGCGATCAGGGGGTTAAATGTGACCTAGGTGTGTTCTAACTGTAAATGTGTAGTGTGTTTTACTCACTTTTACTGTTTCTTCTTCTCTGTCTGGAACGTAATGTGTCCAGGCAGAGAAGAATGACATCATATCCTGTCCTGTGTAAACTTCAACACAGGATAGGACAGGGACCGATCATCTGATTTCAGCCAGGCATCACTGGCTGAAATCTAATGATTGATCCCACCGGGATCGAATGTCTGTCACCCGCGGGCCAGCGGGAGCATGCGCGCCCCTGCCGGCGAAAACGTTGGGAGCGTGGAACCCGTTTTAAAACGTGGTTTTGCGCCTGAGTGCCGCCCTGCACACAGTGAATACAGTGGCAGGGCGGCAACCGGCTAAACACTATTAATAAAAAAAACACAGATTTAGACTTAGACTGCTAACTCAGTAATTAAGCCTAAATAACCATGACACATCAGATAAGACAACCTGTCATGTTATGATTTTTGTGTAGTGGTAGTGATTAATGTAATATGAATTATGAACTATAAAATGGGCGGTGCCTGACTTCCGTATATAACTATCTCACAGTGCCTCCAGCCGTTATGGCAAAATTATTTAATGAATAATATGAAATAATTCAGACACCTTGATAAAATATACCACCACAATATAATTCTCCTGAGTTCTTTTGAACTATGTGATTTCTTACCAGATATACAAATATCTCCCAATTTGATTATTAAATAAAGATAATTAATTTATATACAAGAATATTCATATATATTTTGATACAAAACTAACTGACTGGTGATTTGTATTTCATATGAAGTGATAACTAAAAAATGCAATTCAGTTCAAGCTTCAAATGTACCTGAGAAAAGCATGTAGCAAAAATCATATAAACAAAGGTTAGTAAAATATTCAAATTATATTTCAATGCACTTTCCACACCTTTCGTGGCCGAAGGAAGGGAGGAGACTACTTCTGAACACAAAAATGAAATTCAATTCAAATACGTCCAATACCGGGCACTTTTACCCCCTTCCTGCCCAAGCCAATTTTCAGGTTTCAGCACTCTCACACTTTGAATGACAATTGCGTGGTCATGCAACACTGTACCCAAACTAAAATTTTATCATTTTGTTCACACAACTAGAGCTTTCTTTTGATGGTAGGTAATCACTACTGGGCTTTTTATTTTTTGCTAAATTAACAAAAAACCCCTGAAACATAATCAGACAGGTGGAGTCCCTAGCGAAAGCTAATATAGAAGTAATGTAATTGTCGGATCATGCTCCTGTCACAATGAGACGGTTTGGAAGGGAACAGAATAAAATAAATATGTAGCGATTAAATGAGACCATCTTACAAGACCCAGAAATAGAAAGTAAAGTAAAACAAGAATAAGATCAATACTTTAAGATTAATGAAACTGAGAGTGTCTATTGCCACGATCTGGGAAGCACACAAAGCCTATATAAGGGGCATACTGATAGCAATAGGGGCGGAGATAAAGAAAGAATGAGGGAAAAGGATTGGGACATTGACAGAAGAACTATATCAGTTGGAACAACTACATAAAAAGAAGTTAAATATAGAGTTACAACAAGAGATGATATTAAAAAGAGAGTAATTAAAAGATTATATGGAGCAAGAAACAAGGAAAATGTTCAACGGGGTGTTGAAGGATAGTGTCAGGGCTCCAGGGTATGACCAGAGGTATGTGACTGACGCAGGGAAACGCAGACTTCAGATATGTTATAAACAATATAATTTATTAAAGACTAACAATACAAACATAAACGCAGTGCAATACTAAAACATAACACAGTGCAAACGAACCAAACCAACAGATAACAGTACATACAATGCAAGCGTCGTCAGGCAGGCCGGGTCAATAACAATCGGGCAGGTAGGTACAGGGGGTCAGGCAGAGAATGGTCAGGGTCACAAGCCAGGGATAAAACAGGAGAAGTCAGCAGAGGTCCGGATCAGGCAGGGTCAGCAACGAATCAGACAGACAGGAACAGGAATGCAGGAACAAGATACAGTGCCCAGGAAAAACACACACACCAAGGCAAAGACTGCAGGTCTGGCCATCACTTAAATACACCTGCATAAGCAGTTTCAGGTGTTTGGCTGGCTGCAGGGTTGAGTCTCTGATTGCTGGGAGCACCCGCTGGCCAGCCCTGGTACTGCAGCCCACAAGGCAGGTGAGTCCCACCATTACTGGCAAGTCCATTCCTGACAGTACCCCCCCCCCCCCAAGGAGCGGCCTCAGGACGCTCCAAACAGTCCTAGCTGGGCTAAATGTTCCACCGCCCGGGTCTGGTAACTGGCGGGATATCAAAGACTGGCACATCGGGCAGAGGACTCCGGGCAGAGGCACATCGGGCAGGACTCCGGGCAGAGGCACATCGGGCAGAGGGACTCCGGGCAGAGGCACACATGGGCAGAGGGGCTGGACTCCGGGCAGAGGCACATCAAGCTGGACTCCGGGCAGAGGCACATGGAGCTGAACATCGGATCACCAGGCGGAGCGGCAGGAGGGCAGGGGCGGCGGGTGCCGGGCCCCCAGGGGCGGCGGGCGCCGGGCCCCCAGGAGGGGCCATCGGGCCCCCAGGAGCGGTGGGCGCCGGGCGGCGGGCGGGCGCCGGGCCCCCAGGCGGGGCGACGGGCGCCGGACCCCCCAGGCGGAGCGACAGGTCTCGGGCCCCCAGGCGGAGCGGCGGGCGCCGGACCCCTAGGCGGAGCGACAGGTCTCGGGCGCCCAGGCGGAGCGGCGGGCGCCGGACCCCCAGGCAGAGCGACAGGTCTCGGGCCCCCAGGCGGAGAGGCGGGCGCCGGACCCCCAGGCGGAGTGACAGGTCTCGGGCCCCCAGGCGGAGCGGCGGGCGCCAGACCCCCAGGCGGAGCGACAGGTCTCGGGCCCCCAGGCGGAGAACAGGCACCGAGTCACCAGGCACAACAGTGGGCTCCGAGTCAACTGGCATGACCGCGGGCACTGGGTCAGACATTGGATCGTCTGGCTGGACAGCGGGCATCGGGTCACCAGGCATGAGGTCATTTGGCTCGCCAGCGGGCACCGCGTCATCTGGCAAGGCAGTGGGCACCGAGTCACCAGGCACGACAGTGGGTTCCGAGTCAACTGGCATGACCACGGGCACTGGGTCAGACATTGGATCGTCTGGCTCGACAGCGGGCATCGGGTCACCAGGCATCAGGTCATTTGGCTCGACAGCGGGCACCGCGTCATCTGGCAAGGCAGTGGCACCGAGTCACCAGGCACGACAGTGGGCTCTGAGTCAATTGGCACGACAGCGGGCACCGGGTCATCTGGCGTTGGATCGTTGGCTCGACAGCGGGCATCGGGTCACCAGGCATGACAGCGGGCACTGGGTCACCAGGCATCAGGTCATTTGGTTCGACAGCGGGCACCGCGTCATCTGGCAAGGCAGTGGGCACCGAGTCACCAGGCACGACAGTGGGCTCTGAGTCAATTGGCACGACAGCGGGCACCGGGTCATCAGGTACCGGATCGTCTGGCTCGACAGCAGGCACCGGGTCATCTGCCGCTGGATCGTCTGGCTCGACAGCGGGCATCGGATCACCAGGCATGACCGTGGGCACTGGGTCATCAGGCATTGGATTGTCTGGCTCGACAGCGGGCATCGGGTCACCAGGTATGACAGCGGGCACTGGGTCACCAGGCATCAGGTCATTTGGCTCGCCAGCAGGCACCGCGTCATCTGGCAAGGCAGTGGGCACCGAGTCACCAGGCATGACAGTGGGCTCTGAGTCAATTGGCACGACAGCGGGCACCGGGTCATCAGGTACCGGATCGTCTGGCTCGACAGCAGGCACCGGGTCATCTGGCGCTGGATCGTCTGGCTCGACAGCGGGCATCGGGTCACCAGGAATGACAGCAGGCACTGGGTCATCAGGTACCGAATCGTCTGGATCGACAGCGGGCACCGGGTCATCTGGCGCTGGATCGTCTGGCTTGACAGCGGGCATCGGGTCACCAGGCATGATAGCGGGCACTGGATCATCAGGCATTGGATCGTCTGGCTCGACAGCGGGCATTGGGTCACCAGGTATGACAGCGGGCCCTGGGTCATCAGGTGTTGGATCGTCTGGCTCGACAGCGGGCATCGGGTCACCAGGCATGACAGCGGGCACCGGGTCATCAGACATGATAGGATCATCAGGCTGGATCAGTTCATCAGGCTGGGTACAGACATCAGGCTGGGTACAGACATCAGGCTGAAGTGCGGGTGCCGAGGCACCAGGCTGAACCACGGAAGGCAGGTTCTCAGACGGCAGGCTCACCGGTTTGGATACTGGCAGGATGGTACTGGTTGGAAAGAATTTTCGCTTTTTTCTGGTTTTAACTACTGGAGCACTGCAAGTAAACGCAGGTCTGCAAATGAATGGAGCAGCTGGAGACAGAGAAGAGCTGGAGGATGGAACAGGGGAGGGAACAGTTGCTACAGAGGGCTTCTTTACAGGGTTAAAGGCAGGATAGGTGCAGCGAGTGGGAACAGGGTACTGACATGCGGTAGATAGCAGGGTATACTGGGCTGTAACTGGAGGTGCTGTTGGGAATGCAGGAATAGAGCTTTGAGGAAATAGATTAGAAGCAGGACTGGGTTTTTGTAAGCTGACTGAGGCTGGGTGCAACAAATCTGTCCATATCTGCAGTATGGGTTGAACAAAGCTGAGCTTACACAAAGCCTACTAAACAATATGATAGTGTGACAAGAACACGCCTATCTGAAAAAGAAGGTTTCTAAAAGATCCACGCGGAGTAGTATGAATTCAAATGAATTTAACAATACTTTATTTGATCACATAGATCATGGGGAGGTTAAACATGAGCACGGTGTACATATGAAAAATAAAATCATGTTTAAAAACACTTAGCGTCTTCAATTTAGGGTCATCTTAGCCAACAGAGCACCATATAAGGCAGAGTAGTGTAATGATGGAATAGTTATCCTGGATTTCCGTAGGTTTCCTGCTTAATATTTGTGTGAACCGTATATTCAGTGGGTGTGTTCCCAGTATATGTCAGGGACCTCCTGGAATGTACAAGCTGGAACACAAAAATACATGGTATGTATCTAGCAATATGGAAACCAAATCACATCCAAAATTTACCAGGCCTCCCTCCACAATAGTCAATGGATACTACTGTTACCTTCTCAGAGGTGAGACTATCATACCCGCCTCTCAAATGTAGGGACTTCCTGGATAGCCACCCCAAATGGAACAAGGTCCACAGTACCAAATGATTCTGAGGATATACATAGAAAAAGATAATAGTAAATGTGTAGATCATGGGCATCAGGTAACCCCGAAAACAAAACACACATAGAGATGTGGATATATTACCATCAATGAGGATCAAGAAGACTCCTGTCGACTTGAACTAAGATCAGGTCCTTGATGCTTTTCCAAAAATGCATATGGGGGTGAGGGACCAGGTATACACGCGCATGGATTTCAAACACATATAGTGTGTATATAGCATATAGCAGGCCGTAGATACCTGAATTTAATATACCCAGTAAAGGGTTTCCAAAAATTGCTCAATTTGAGAAGGTTATTTGCGGTTTTATAAGGATGTGGCTATGTCACAGCAAAAGAATACCTGAATAGGATAGCGTATTTTATATATATATATATATATATATGTAGATTCTCCTCCTGAGAGGATTTCCAAAAAATTCCCCGAGTATACAGGGTAAATTAGGCCCATACAACATGCCCTATGAACACCATGTAGGCTCTGTAAATCTCAACAGCCGTAAGCTTTTAAATAACTTGCCACCGGTGGAAGATATGTTTCCCTGAGGGAAACCGCTGTGATAATAGCCCACTGGTAGTTCTCAAAAGGTCTTGGGCCTACCTAACAGGGAGCTGTGACAGCCGTTCCTTCCCGCCTCGTGGGCGCCGCACCCTGTGAAGACGCCGAGTGTATTGACGTCACTACGCTCGGCGTCTTCACAGGGTGCGGTGCCCACGAGGCGGGAAGGAACGGCGGTGTCACAGCTCCCTGTTAGGTAGGCCCAAGACCTTTTGAGAACTACCAGTGGGCTATTATCACAGCGGTTCGCAAACGGCAATCCCTCAGGGAAACATATCTTCCACCGGTGGCAAGTTATTTAAAAGCTTACGGCTGTTGAGATTTACAGAGCCTACATGGTGTTCATAGGGCATGTTGTATGGGCCTAATTTACCCTGTATACTCGGGGAATTTTTTGGAAATCCTCTCAGGAGGAGAATCTATATATATATATATATACGCTATCCTATTCAGGTATTCTTTTGCTGTGACATAGCCACATCCTTATAAAACCGCAAATAACCTTCTCAAATTGAGCAATTTTTGGAAACCCTTTACTGGGTATATTAAATTCAGGTATCTACGGCCTGCTATATGCTATATACACACTATATGTGTTTGAAATCCACGCATCGTGTATACCTGGTCCCTCACCCCCATATGCATTTTTGGAAAAGCATCAAGGACCTGATCTTAGTTCAAGTCGACAGGAGTCTTCTTGATCCTCATTGATGGTAATATATCCACATCTCTATGTGTGTTTTGTTTTCGGGGTTACCTGATGCCCATGATCTACACATTTATTATCTTTTTCTATGTATATCCTCAGAATCATTTGGTACTGTGGACCTTGTTCCATTTGGGGTGGCTATCCAGGAAGTCCCTACATTTGAGAGGAGGGTATGATAGTCTCACCTCTGAGAAGGTAACAGTAGTATCCATTGACTATTGTGGAGGGAGGCCTGGTAAATTTTGGATGTGATTTGGTTTCCATATTGCTAGATACATACCATGTATTTTTGTGTTCCAGCTTGTACATTCCAGGAGGTCCCTGACATATACTGGGAACACACCCACTGAATATACGGTTCACACAAATATTAAGCAGGAAACCTACGGAAATCCAGGATAACTATTCCATCATTACACTACTCTGCCTTATATGGTGCTCTGTTGGCTAAGATGACCCTAAATTGAAGACGCTAAGTGTTTTTAAACATGATTTTATTTTTCATATGTACACCGTGCTCATGTTTAACCTCCCCATGATCTATGTGATCAAATAAAGTATTGTTAAATTCATTTGAATTCATACTACTCTGCGTGGATCTTTTAGAAACCTTCTTTTTCAGATAGGCGTGTTCTTGTCACACTATCATATTGTTTAGTATGCTGTCCCCTGGGTTTATGTATCCACACTTGTATAAGTGAGTCGGAGAGGTGCTTATGACATTAACAATTAGTGTCATTTTTGGTGGCTTGCTCTTGCTTTATTATTGTCTTACACAAAGCCTGTATGACCAAAGACTGCACTGCGTTTATACAATCCCTTAATACCTGTGGTGACCATGCAGCATAATGCTCCAAGAAGCAATCCACATCATCCTCTAATAACCATACCAGGGACTCTACCTGGTCGGCACTAAATGGCGGCAAAAATTCATCCCAGCATTCGGGGGTACCAGATGAAACCAACTCAGCACAAACCTGAATCAATGGCTGCACCTCAGAGAACTCTGTGCCCTGATCTACTAGGCAATGAGCGATCCGTATACATTCTAGCAGTTCATCCCTGGGATACTCCTTCAGAGTTTGATAAGCATATTCTCTGTCATCAAACACTAGCAGAGATAAATACACAACCTCATCAAGATCCATCCTTCCCAGCAACAAGCCAAGATGGCTTCCCTGTGCAGCCACTTCTGGTCAGGATTGGCCTTGGTGTAATGTCAGGGCTCCAGGGTATGACCAGAGGTATGTGACTGACGCAGGGAAATGCAGACTTCAGATATGTTATAAACAATATAATTTATTAAAGACTAACAATACAAACATAAACACAGTGCAATACTAAAACATAACACAGTGCAAACGAACCAAACCAAACCACCCACAGATAATACATACAATGCAAGCGTCGTCAGGCAGGCCGGGTCAATAACAATCGGGCAGGTAGGTACAGGGGGGTCAGGCAGAGAATGGTCGGGGTCACAAGCCAGGGATAAAACAGGAGAAGTCAGCAGAGGTCCGGATCAGGCAGGGTCAGCAACGAATCAGACAGAGACAGGAACAGGAATGCAGGAACAAGATACAGGCCCAGGGAAAAACACACACACCAAGGCAAAGACTGCAGGTCTGGCCATCACTTAAATACACCTGCATAAG